CATCAATTATTCACATTGCTTTTACCTACTTAGGTTCTTTGACACCTACTCTTTATTTGGCATATTCGCTTGCACCACTTTATATGCTTTGGAGTTCTATTTTTATGTGGATCGCATTGCCTAACCACACATGCCCTTCAACATCCACTCTTTAGTTATTCTTGTTACTTGCAACTACTCATTTAGCTTTTTCACCTGAACTTCTATGCAAATATGTTGCCAACTCATGCAATATTGGTTCATGCCCCCGCTGCAATGCATAAGTTTGCTTTATCAGCAAGCCAACTTTGCTAGACACTTGTGAACATCCAATCATCAAGAAAATCTTGGCAATATCAATCCTTTGAATTAAAAAAAGTTAACAGAGTACTCTCGTAGCAATTATTATGTTTTTCGCCCATAAGTTCTTAAACTCCCATCAAGGATTGCAGGCAACAGAGGCAATTTCTTCCTGCTTAAGTGAACCTTAACTTCAATCCTGAGACAGATTTTTCTGGTTTTAGCTCTGACAACTTCATATTATGATGTTGATTCATTAACTTCCAAACGGTGGCCATGAGGAGAGATTCAAAGGAATTATTGTGAAATCCAACATTCCGTGAAGACATTCTGCTTATGCAATTGTTCCTCAAAGAATTTTTTAGACCATTGTAAGCTTTCTTATTTCTTCATTTTATATCCTAACAAGGTCATATTGGTCACCTTTGAGATGATCAATGAAAGGTGAATTCATTATTTTGAGATTAGAATCATCACAACTCTTACTGTAAATCTATAATAGTTCTTTTACTTTCGTTCCCTTTGACTTGGTCCAAGATTCAGGAACCTTGACTGAATTTCATGTCTCCAATTGCAACAAGAGTTCAACTGATAATTTATGGAATTTAACTCAATTCCACATGAGATAATGTAACCATCGAGTTTACTAACCAACCATCCATGAAGTTTTCTTGTACCGTTGGCGGGTTTAGGCCCTTCATGGAAGACTATGATTAGCAAGAAGACCTTAAACCAATGGTTTGAGGGGTTTCTTCTTCCATCCTTGTGGAATCAATTTCTCGTCAGGACTATAATCATTTAGTAGATAGATGGCCAACAATCCTAAGCGGGCTTTTTATACATTGGTGAATTTTGCCATGCGGTAAGGTTTTGTGATATTAGTTTTTTCCAAAGTTATCCATATAGCAAGGAAGAATTCACTCTCATAATTCAGGTGTTGTAACATAAAGTTTGTTTCTCTGCAATTTTTATGGAGATAACTTTAGGGACTAGATACACAACCCAACAAGAAGTGGAGTAAGGATGAAAAGGTATATATATCATAAAAAAGAAGCTGTGCTCTTGATCTCGAGTAAGCATTAATGTTAACGCCAAAGAATGGCCACAATCAATGGAGTTTTGGCTTTACTCCTGATTTATTCCCAATCCCAGAGCAAATCAGATAGCTTACCTAGGTAATGAGGTTATTTTTGGACCAACTAACGGTTACATGAACAAACATAGACAATGAGTTCAGTTATTTGACCAAAACAGACTCAAAACAAGCTCTAAATGAGGCGATTAATTCCTAGACAGGTTTTGGAGTTTGTGTTGAGTCCCGGTAGGCGTGGAATTAAGTTGTTAATTCATGTTAACAAGGGTGGTTCAACCCGAAAGACTGAATTTGAGTTGATTTGAATCTATTTTGGTTATGAAACGGCTTGAAAATTTTGATCCATATTCAGTTCAAATTAATGCAAAATCGGCCCAACCCAACACAAGAAGCAAGCAAGTCATGTCAAATTGATGTTAACCCAACAAAGTGGGCTTGATTACCTAATTTGCATATGCTATCCTGAAAAAAACTAAGCTAATTTTGTCATTAGAAGTGAACTTTTAATGAAGTGATAGCAAATCCATTTACTAGGTTGATTAAGTTTTGGTCTTGACCTGCAGCTGATTTGAATATTCTTATGGTCTTCTATCATTCTGCCCCAAACTTGTCACAAATCTTACATGAGTTGACCCAAACTAAAACTCTTCTTTTTGGGTTCGAGTTGGTCTGTTGTATTGGTTACAATATTAACGCTCCTATTTAGTTCTAGATGTGCTCTGATTGCATTCATTAACAGCAAACACAGATTGTTGTAGCATGCTAACAATGACAATACCATTTACCGTCGTCCAAACATCCCTCATTGCATTCACTAATGATTGATACAACTCATCACAATCATTTGACAATAAGTTGATGTCTAAGTCTGCGGCAAGTAATGTTGATGCTTGCTGTAAATGATGCCATTTGCTTTGTCATTATTCCCTACCATCATTTTCCATTATTTTATTTGCATTTGGTGCAATTACTAACTTTGTTGCCTAGTTCATCGTCATTCTCATTATGAACGTCTGAGCAAAAATCTCCCTCTATTTAGAAGTGTGCAATCTTTGTGTAACTTCTTACAAGTAGTTTGTTTTTATAATTGGGTCTAGTTCCGTGGTTTGGTCCTCTCTTGGTGTTTCTACGTTACTTTCTCTTTTCCTTTGCATGTGTCTGGATTTCACATATAAGACAACAAAAACAACAAAAAGCTTTTATCCCACTATGTGGGGTCGGCTATATGAGTCCTTTTTCTCTATTGTGTCCTATTGAGTGTCTTATTTTCATTAATTTTAGTAAATTAAGATAATTTTTTATCAATATGCCCAAGTTTTTTTAGGTCTACCTCTGCCTTTCTTAATATAAGTAAAATCTAGAACATCTACTCTCCTAACTAGATCATTAGATGGTCGACGTTTAGTATGACCAAACCATCTTAGGCGACTCTCTCTAATATTGTTTGTCATTGGAGCTACACCAACCCTTTCACGAATATATTCGTTTCTCATTTTGTCTTTAAGTGTAAGGCCACACATCCACCTGAATATTTTCATCTCAACAACACTTAAGTTTACGCTTCTCTTTTATATGCCAACATTCTGGGCAAGCATTGCAAGTTTCACTATATTTTATAAAATTTTCCCTTAAGTTTAAGCGCTATAACATAAGTGGCCCGATGCATTCCTCCACTTCAACCATCCAGCTTGAATTCTACTAATAACATCCCCATCTATATTACCATCACCTTGAACAATAGACCTGAGACATATAAAACGTTAACTTCTTTTAATAATTGATCACCCGTTGTTACAATCCTGCCACTAGATCTACTACTATTAAAATTATATTCCATGTATTCAGATTTAGATTTACTAAAACGAAAGCTTTTAGTCTCTAAAACTAACCTCTGTATTTAAATATTTTTTTGAACTCTTTCCACAAGAAGAATATCTTCATTAAAAAACATATAGGTACATCGTCCTGTAAATGTTTAGTTAGAACATCCATAACTAAACAAAAAGATATGGGCTTAAAGCCAATTCCTAATGTAATCCAACTGAATAGTAAAATACTTGGTCAATCCGTCTTCTGTTAGAACCCAAGTAACAACTCTAGTATACTTATCTTTAATCGCTTGAATATAAGTCATATCAACACCTTTCTTTTAAAGAACTTATCAAAGAACTTCTCTTGGAACCTTCTCATAAGTTTTTTCTAAATCAACAAAAATTATATGTAAATCCAAATTACTCTGTAATTTTCCATCATACCTCTCAAGAAATGTCTAGCGTCCATACTAGACTTGTCCAACATAAATCCAAACTGGTTTTGAAAAATTTTTGTATCACATCCTAACATATGTTTAATCACTCTCCCATAATTTTAATTTATTTGTATTTTAAGACAGACTTCGTTGTTAATATTAGCTTGCTTAATTAGTATCATCTTAAATTCAAAACTAATAATCGATATTGACTACTTAAATTATTACCTAGAATGACCTTACAATCTCGACGATTTTTTTCTCTTAAAAAATAATTAATTTGTGTTTTATTAGATTCATTCTTATAAGTGATAATATGTTCATCTCTTTTCTTGAATAAAGGATTAGCAATAATAAAATTATAAATTAGAAAATAATCCAATATGACTCTGCCTTCCTCATTAGTCACTTCAAAATTGTAGCTGTCACTAATATTCCTAAAATCTTTTATCACTTTATCAGTATGTCCATTTAAATCTTCTCAAAGAAAAATTTTTTCTTAAAGTTGTATCATATATATTAATTTTGTCAAGTCATTAAATTTCTTTTTAAGCATATATCTAAACCTATTTGAGGAGCATAAACACTTATAATATTAGGATTATAATTTTATCTTCAATTCTATTGATTTTTATAACATTATCTTTCAAGCTTTTATATATAATTACACTTATACCATTTCTAGTATGACTTTTACCTGAATACCAAAGTTCAAAAAATTTATCTATTAATCTATTTAGTTTTTTCTCCAACTCATTTAATTTCTTAAATTCATAAGATATTTTTTTTCCTAAAAACTATAATATTTATTAATTCAATCAATTTACATGTGAGAGTACCTGTTCTAAGTTTCCATTCTAATTTAGTTCATGGACTAATTTTTTTCGTTTGCATTCGTCCATAACGTGAGAATTCTTATTTATTTAACACGAGATGCGGGCATCAGGGAAGCTCCCCTTGCACATGTTTTAGTATACTCAGGCTATACATCATGTAGTTTATAGGAGACACCTTAGCATTTACACAAATTTAAATGATTCATGTTATGATCTTCGACAAAAAATTTATGCCGGCTGTCGATTTCCTAAGCAGCCTTTAACTTTTTACATTTGGGGCTTGGGACCTAGCAATGACAGGTATAAAACTAGCAAAAATATTTCTGCACTCTTATAGTTCATGGCAATCTTTTTAAACACAATGATTATACATGAACGGCACTGGTTGATAAGACTTCTTTGCCTTTCTTTGGATCATAATTGCCAATGCCTTTAATGCCTTTATCGCCTTTATTGTTTTATACTTAATGCTATGATATGATTATATCTTCTTCAAGAACTACTCACACAGGCTGAGGGTTTCTCTTTTTTCCGTTTTTGTCAGGCCATGCTTATCTTTATGTATTCGGATGAGCTCCCTGATGTTGTTGAACTGAGTGGCTCAATTTCAATGTGTTCTACAAATATGGTTCAACATCTATTGGCAGCGGCTGACAGATATGGACTTGAGCGGCTAAAGCTATTATGTGAAGCAAAATTATGTGAAAAAATTAATGCTGATACTGTTGCTTCTACAATGGCCCTAGCAGAGCACCATCATTGTGCACACTTGAAGTCTGTCTGTCTGAAATTTACCGCAGTTAGAGAAAATTTGGAAGGTTTGTATTGTCTTCTCTTATATCTTAGACACACACCGTTCTTTTTTCTCTTATAATTTTTTATTATAGGTTTAACCACTTGATCTTTATTGAACGGAAGTTTGGAACACTTGAAAATTTTAAAGTGATTACAACTAATTTAAACTAATTTTTTATAGGCTTCAAAGCCATTTACAGAATGCTTTTCATAAGTATGACCAAACATAGTTAACTTCTATTTTATCTGAATAACAGTAACCTTAGCTAGATGGCTTGTGCTAGTGTGTTTAGCTTTATGATGTTTTAAGTGGAAAGTCTGATGCTGTCGTAGTACTGACAAGTTTGCTTTGACACACTATGCAAGAGTTTAAAGCTGATGTGCTGTGAAAGTAAATTATATTGAAGTGAGTTTAAAGCTGAGATATGTTTGTAATGCTATGAGCTTCCTAGAAATATAATGATTTCCACATAATCATGCTAAATAACTAATCATTTGTTAATATTTAACTAACCTAGCTATTAAGTTAATTTATTACTAACCATTAAGTGGTGCTTATTTAGACTAGTTATCTTTATTTCATTTTGCTGTATTACTGTTTTAATTAGTGAATATGTAATCCTAATTAGATTATTTTCCTAATATTTAATTAGAAATCAATTGACTAATTAATAATTGATATAACTGTGAAGTAATTATTTATCATTTAGTTTGTCATCTTATGGGTGATATTTGGTGAGGAGGCTTCTCCAGTGAACACAAAAACTCTAAATGCCTCTTTTCTATTGTGTCATCGCTTTAATCCTTGAAATTTGAAATATATTTTACACAGTTGAGATCTCAAGCAATGTTATTACCTGGTTGTAATTATTTTATTGTTATTCTCCACCTTTCCTTGTGGTATCAAAGCCATGTTGTAGCCTTGGCTCGCCTTCCTTCGTTGAAGCCTCTTCCTACAAGCTGTCCGCGAGCTCTTCACCCCCAATGGCCACTCTCCTTCCCTTTCAGGCAATCTTTCCCCGTGCTTCAGAGAAGGTGCAATTCCCTTGGTAAAAGTTTTTTCTAGTGGAAATTTTAACTTGTCCTAGCACTTAACTAGATTCTCTCTAGTGGAAATCTCAAACCTGTGAAGAAAACATCAACATCAGTAGGAACTTCTACCAATACTTGTCAAAATCTCTTCAACCAGCCTACAAGCATTCCCCGACTTTAGGCCCCTCTTCGGATTCTTCCTACAAGCCTTCCCTAGTAACATTGTTTGTCGTTGAATATATCTTGTAACCCAATTTCTTTTTGCTACAAGCCCCACCTGCAAGCCCTCTATTGTTCACTCTGTTGTCTTCAGACCTTTCTTTCAGCAACAATAGTCATCGCCACAGCAGCAGCCACCAGACCTCTCTCTTGCGTCAACAACAACAACTGACACTTTTATAACAGCCACTCGTGAAATCTTTTAATCCTGAAAAAAATTTGTAGACTTGTCTTCTGCAATAACAATTGAATGTGACACATATCTCAATAGTGCAGTGAATTCTGTTTCGTACTGCATAACCATCTTCTCTCATTTCCTCAACTTGATGAATCTATCCTACATTTATCTTCGAGCAGATAAGGGTACAAACTATTCTCTAAATAGCTCCACGAACTCCTTCCAACTGACCATTTTATTAGGTGTGTTGCCTAACTTGTTCTAATGCTGCCCACACCATCATCTTTCAGCTTCTCCATAAAGCTCAAAGGTCGCCAACAATTCTCTTCTTTCATCCAGACAAGTCTTGCTATCTTGTATCTTCTCTATCATTATTAGTCAATTCTCCGCTTCAGTTGGGTCTTCAGTTTCTTTGAACAAAGGTGGATGCAGATCTTGAAATATCTTCTACTATTTATATACAACGACAACATCACTTTCGATATGTTGTGATATAGACTCCTGAATCAGCTGGATCATTGTCGTCATTATTTGGGCAAGAAAATTCGTGTTCACATTTATTGTAGGTCGTGCTTCTTTGTTTTCTTTCAGATTCTCTTCTTCTATGATTTCGAATATCACTGTGCCTGAATGTACAATAATTATTACTTTAAGTTAACTTCAATTATTTTTATAATATTTTTCTTATAATTATCTTATTGGCTTTTTCATCAAGATTTCATTAATTAATCCTACATGTTGCCTCTAATACCATTTTTGTCATGACCCGACCCGGAGATTGGACTTAATCAATGCTGGTGCACACGGTTGGACGATGTGAATTAAATTTTCTATATTAATCTATAATTCAACAGATGAAAGAGTTACTAAATAAATTAAAGCGTACGATTAAAATTATTTTTTTATTGGTTGTTTGCGTCTTCTATAAACTTTTTTTTTCCATTGCTCATCTTTAATTACTTAGTTAATCTGAAGAGTTAGTTTAAAATAACAATGAGCTAAATAAATAAATGAATATTCATACTCTTAAAATACAACAATACAAGAAAAAATAATAATAATCATGTCAATTATGTTTTTATATGAATCAATATAAATATTTAACAAGTTATTTAAATAGTCTATAACAATATCATATAAATATTATTTCATATCTATACAACCGTAACAAAATATCGTTCAAAAATTTATATCGCTTAAAGTACTTCAATATCAATATCTTTTTTCATTTACATGTACAAATACATTAGTGTTTCTCATTAATACCATTAAGGGGTGACTTTGTTCTAATTAATCATGCACATACAAATATCTAATAAAAATATTTCTTTCTAATAAAAAATATTCATTTCTCATTTGCATATATGTGAACATCATTATATATTATTTTTATAATATGAACAAAAAAATAATTCATTTATTGTTTGCATAGCAGTCAAATCATTCAATAATCATGTGTGAACACATATCATTCTACAATATGAACAAACAAATTAACTAAAATTCGAAATCAGAAGTTTGCAGTAATTTCAATATGGCTAATGATAGTATCAATAAATGCATTTAGTTTAGAAGAAGCAAAATATCATCATAATATAAGAACATAAGTATTCACCTCAATGTCAATTAATTTGATATTGACGTTAACATTTATCGAAAGTCTATAACATCTATTATTTTAATAAACTGATATCTTTTCATTTTTTAAATATTAAAGTTTCTTATGTAATCACGCGTATCCCGACATGTTGGTTGGCATCTACCGTATAAGACTCCTAAGATCGGGGGTCGAATCCCCTCTGACACAGTTGGCCTTAAGGAGGTGGTATTTAAATTGTTAGACACATTAGAGGTAGTTGGAGGCTCGCATAATAGCCTCTGACCATTTCTTTATATATAGATATATATGTATATATAAATGTAATTAATGGGTGTCGTCTTCTTCGATATCGCTCTGCTAAGGTTTTGCCATTATGGCGAACCATGGTTTCTGCTCTACTGCTCGTGCTCGATCTTTCGTTGTTTTCGTCTGTTTCGTGCGTCATCCTCGAGGCTCGTCTTCTGCGGCATCGTGCATGCTTCTGCGAGAGTGCGTCTGTGCGGCAGGCTGAAGGGCTCGCGATTGAGACTCGTTTTCTGCGGCATCGTGCGAGTCTCTGCGGGATCGTCTACAGGCTGAATGGTCCGCGAGTCTTCCGCGACGTCCGTCGATTGTTTCGATGCCGAGATTTTTGTGTTTCGCCTACTGCGCTTATATCGGAGCATCGTTCTCCCTGCTTTGATGGCGCTTCCTCCTTCTGTTGAACCTGACAAAGCCTCCTTCGCCCACGTGATGGGTAATTATCTAGTAGAGTCTACTGCTGTCTTCCCCTCAAGCTATAAGAAATGTCGTGATGGTACAGGTGACTGCCCTTTTCTTAGAAAGATAAGTAGGAAATGTGGGAAAACAAAATTTTTTTTTTCTGATTTAAAAATTTCAACCGACTAAGAAATGTAAGTTAGCTCTTATTGAAAAATTTCAGTGGGGGCACCCGCTTATGGAAGTTATCAGAAATTGTTTTGACGATCTCAAATTTGTAGGCAAGTGGAAAGTGAGATTTTTTTATGGGAGACATGTGTTGATTCAGTTAACCGTGGCTGAAAACTACGCTCAGATTTTCTCTAAAAAATATATTAACATTGCAGGCAAGTCAATGAAGTTAATCAAGCGGTTGTTGACCTCATTTTGAGGTCATTACTCTTTTCCTTAGGATCCTAGGATCTAGCTCTAGGGTTTCCTATTGACTATCTTAGAAAACTAGTATTAGAATTCATCCCCTTAAAATTCCAGTCACCTCCTATTTCTTTTGTGATGTCCCATATTGATGATCTCAAAACCATTATCGTATGATCGAGCGGTTAAGGACTATCATGTGGAGACTCAGGGAGAAGTTCCCAATAGGATCTCAAGCCCTAGAAAAACCTCTTCAGGACTTTATCATCACACACACACAGACAAAATACACAAAATTCACTAAGTTGCACAAGATTGGACTAAAATTGAACATAAAGGATGAGTGAAAATGTGAACTTCGTCGGACGATCTTCGACGACAAAATGGACTGCGCCAACGCGTCCGGGACATCAATTTGAGCTAAAAAGACACCCATATTGCCATAATTCCGCGCACGAGCAAATTTCACGCAAATCGATGAATTTGTCAAAAACGACCTCCGACGACGAAACAAACCACACTAACATGTCTGAAACGTCAAAATTACCTAAAAATGACATTTAATTTTCTAGAATCTGACGCACAAATGAAAATGTACGAATCAAATCTTATTCTTGAAATATTAAATATTTTTATATTTATATCATTATTTACAATAAACTTTTTTTTATCTTAAACCCTATTTATCCCTTATCCACACACTTAATTCCCCATTTGACCCATCCTGCGGCTCTAACAGCCGCTTGGCTCGTCCCCGTGCATGCCCTAGATTCCATGGCTCATCCACGCGGCGATCCTCCTCCTCTCGACTCTTCTCTTTCTTTGCGTGGCCGCTTGACCTTTCGGTTCTCCAATTGCAAGGGTCGGGCTGGCCGACCCTT